ATTTCATGATTAGTTATAATACAAGTTTGGATCTTGTTCTTCATGTTTAGTTAAATTTTATGCCTAGAGTTATGGATGAACTTTCTATATCAAATATATATTGAGTAAGTTATCTATCACTTTTTCTTATCTAATTATGATTAACTAGCCATTAATTGTGATAATTTTATGGTGTTAAACTTGCAATGAGAATTGAAATTTAACACTAGTTCAAGGAAGTAATAAACCTTAGGAGTACACTCACGAGAGTAGAGGTGCACCTTTGTGACTTTAGTAACTTGTTTCATATAATTTCATAGAAAAAAAGAGCTTGTAGTTAATTTCATACCACAAGATTAGGTATGGTTTAGTTACAAGTATAGTTGATTCACTACAAAAGTAGGTTTCACATACATTAGGAAATTATGCCATAACTAACCAAGATAAATCATTCACTTAACCAATAATTTCACTTGCAAGAGTAGTAAGGAATTCCATATCTCTGAAAGTTTTCTATTGTTATTTTTACTTTTAGCTCATGTTTATAGTGTAGATTTAACTTTTAGCTCATGTTTACAAAAGTAGGTTTCACATACATTAGGAAATTACGCCATAACTAACCAAGATAAATCATTAACTTAACCAGTAATTTCACTTGCAAGAGTAGTAAGGAATTCCATATCCCTGGAAGTTTTCTATTGTTATTTTTACTTTAGCTCATGTTTATAGTGTAGATTTAATTTTTGTACATTTATGATAGTCTAAATAATAAAAGAATTCGAAAATCATCGGTAATTGACAATCTTCTCTTTGGGTTCGACCATTAATACCCTATACTCAATCACGACTCGTATATTTGTGAAAAATCACGTGTAGGATATTTAGGATTTAATAAATGTAAAACAATACTAGTGATCAGTATAGACTACTTGATGAGTCGTACCTATAAAGGAGGGTTTGCTAATGGACAGACAACACAAAGGACAATTTTCTCTTTCTTCTGGGGTTTCTTGTAAGAATTTTCTATTTTTTTTCTTTTTCTTTTATTGTTAGATCTAAATTTATTTCAGATTTCGAAATTTTTTAGATCTTGGGTCCCTTTTGACAGATCTCATCAACATTATTGCTGCTTATTGATGTTCACGGGCAGAGTTAGAAAAGAAATTTAATGGAGTAAAGTTAATATCTAAAATATTACTAATTAAATTATAAAAATATATTTAACTAACAATATATGCTAGATGTTATGTTTATAATTAATCTATAATTTAACAACAAAACAAATCTCTTTCAAATCTCAAATTTCCTAATAAAGGATTTTTCTACTTTTCCTCTCACAACCCTAAAAATTTTCTCTAGATTTTTCTAAGAGGAAAAAAAAAATTAGCAATGTTTGTGAGTTCCAATGTGTGGTGAAAAAAGTTATTTAAAAATTCTAATGGATTTGTTAAAATAGATTAAAAAAAAGAATAAATGTAAATTGAGTCTCTTTCTTTGTTTAGACAAAACCGTTGTTGACATATTTTAAACCAGACCTTTTTAGAAATTTAGCAGTTTTAGAATTATATTATTATTTGGTAACTAGATTAGAATTGGTGCCAAAATTGATTTAAGAAACAGAGTTAAATTGTTTTTTTGATATTACAATTGGAACGAGTTTATGATAGTAAAATCTAATAAGGAGTTGTTAGTTTCTTTCCTGTATATATGGCCTTATGGCTGAATGCTCAATTGAGCAACCTCATGTAAAATTTGAGTTAGTATATGTTAAAGCATTGTTCCAAAATATCTGTGCCTTGTTTCTTTGCCTTCCAAGTGATACGATTTCCCTTCACCTCTTGAGTGATCAATTAGAGCCTCGCGACTTGGTATATTCTAATCAAATATATTTTTGAGTGGCTATTTATCCAAGTCTTTATATATCGCATTTATACTTCTACTGCATGATTTTTTTTTGTGTGCTAGCAATAGTGTTATTAATTTTAAGTGTTGTTAAATTGTTTGATATAGAGATATATAAACAAAGTGTACATTATTACTTTAGATTTTGTTGAAGGGTAGTACGGTTAATTTCATTCAAGTGTGGGGGCAAACTTACAATTTTATATGCAGATACGGACAACTTAGTGAGGGCAATTCTCTAATACTTGAATTTTGTTGAAGAGTAGTGGGGCGATTTCATTTGAATGTGGGGGCAAAACTCTAATTTTATATATAAATTAATATGGAGATTTAGGAGGGGTCAATGGGGGCAATAGCCCCACTTTTTCTCCATCACTGCAGACGTTGATTAACAAATCTAGCAATTACAACATGCACAAAAAAGAGTTACAACGATTTATCTTGCTAGAAGACAACTTAAGAGTTTCTATTAAATCTGTTCAAAATCTATTAAGAGTTTCAAATCTGTTCAAAATTTTTTAGATCTATTGTATATGTTAAATTGTAGATCCGATCTATTATTTCTAACACATATTAATGTCTTATTAGCGCTTGTGATGTGGATCTAGGATGGAAGGGTGTGGATTTAATCCCCTTCTTTTATCAATTATTTAATTACTGATTTTTTCCTAGCAAGAATTTTCCCCTTCTTGATTTTTCAATCATTTCAATAGTTTGATTCTCTACAGTTTTCGAACGTGCTCCAACTTCACAAAGGATTTATTAAGTACTTCGGATAGGGACAGTCATCAAAAGGACTATCCCTGAACGATTGTGTTGTATGCAGGCTTCAACTTGAACATGCTCCTCCTCTCCTCTTCAAAAAAAAAAAAAAAAAAAAATTCCTCCTCTTTGCTCTCTTATTTAGTAGTCATCAATCAACATAGAATATACTTTTCTTGGTAAATGAATTTTAGATTTTAGCATACTTAATATGCTTTGTTGTACATATATGCATTTTTTTTATTATGACATGTGCAACACTGGTTGGGGTTTGTTATTTATGTGAAGTTTAATATTTCCATCCGCCGTAAACAATAAAATGAGTTGTACAGATCATAATTTTTAGTTGCTTTGTAAAACCGGACGAAATTTAAACCAACACCGGTGATCATTATAGACTACTTGATGATTCGTACCTCCAAAGGAAGGTTTGCTAATAAACTGACGACACAGAGGGCAATTTTTTTGTTTCTCCTAGGGGTTTCTAATGAGAAGTTTTTTCTTTTTTTCTTTTGTTGTTAGATCCGAATTTATTTTAAATCTAGTTGTTAGATTTAGAATTTTTTAGATCTTGAGTCTCTCTCAGATCATATCATTATTGGAATTTAAAACCATTGATTAGTAGATTTGGCGACTGCAACGCAGGGAGCTGCAAATTTATCTTGTTAGAATATAATTTGAAAATTTATTATAACTTTTAGATCTATTCAAAAATATTTAAATATATTGTATTTATTAAATTGTAGATTTGATCTTTATTTCTAATACATATTTAACCTACCATTAGGACAGGGATGTAAATCAAATCGTACTGGATGATTTTTGATAATTCGTTGACAAATTCTATTTTTTTTATCAAAAAAGGACAATAATATGTGGAAATATCAGTAAATTTATATTTCTGAAAGCCAGAGCATAGTCAAGAAAAGAATTACGCTAGCACAATCAAAATTGAAAAATATTAAAGAGAAGGAAAAAAATGACAACAAAATGTTTTGCACTTGTTCCTCTCTAGAAAAGTTGATTTTCTTTGACATCGCTCTGAAAAAACTCTCCAATCAAAACTTCCTTCAACTCTCCCATGGGAGAGAGATCAAATATCAGATTTTTCTTATCATTCCCATTAGAGAAGCCCTCTCTATAATTTTTTTCATTTGTGTGAATAGAATCTCTCCTAAGGCTTACTAATGAGAGTTTCTTCTCTCCTAGGATTGTTGAGGGAGAGTTTTTCCTAGACTTTCTAGTGAGTTTTCTTTTCTCCTAGAGATTCGTGGTGAGAGTTTTATGTAATTTTTTTCATTTTTCTTTTATTAGATTTGAGTTTTTTCAAGTTTTGATTATTAGATCTGGAATTTCTTAAATATATTTGATAGATCTCACCATAATAATTGGACTTGAAACAGTTAATTAGCGGATCGGAAGCTTGGAAGCATGCACAGATATTTGTGGAGCCACAATTATTTTTTCTCATTTTTTAAAAATTTGGAGCTTTATAGTGTAATTTTTATCTATTCTTCAGATTTGTTCTTTGAAATCTGTGTATATTTGATTATGTAACTTCTGTTATTAATACAGATTTTATTGAAATTATGATGTTGTTTTATCAAAAAGAGAAGGTAAAAAAATCCATGTTATGTCCAATGACTAATTCTAAATATACTTATCATTTGCAGTTGTGTTCTTTATTTCTTTACATCATGGCACAAAAAAAAAAAAAACCAACAGGAAAGAAAAAGCATGGGTAAAAGTAAAAATTTTGAAAGGAAAGCCAAGCTCGAGTCAAATTGGGTGAGTAATTTAAAAAGGAAATTAATTCATAGTAATTTGGCAAATTCACAGTGAAAGGAAGCGAAGCTCGAGTCAAATTTGAAAATTTATCAAATACAAAATGCCGCTCAAGTTCGATTTGATTAGTTAGTTAACTAAATTCGAATAAAGTTAAGGTCAATTCGAGTTTCGAGTAGTTTAATTCGTCTTTCAACCCTAGTCATTGGACAACAAATATAGAATTATGGCCTGCTGGGTACATGCTGTATGCATGTGATATCTTCAATAAAAAAAAAGGAAGAAAAAAAAAACAATATGCAGCCATTGAAAACTAAAATATCATTTAGAAAAATAATTTGACCCGATTTTCGTGGGGTTGTCGGGGGATAGATACAAATCTGCTATGGTTTCTTGTTTGTTTTGCATATGTCAATCCTGTTATATATTAGGATTGGTATTTATTAGTAGAAATGCCCGTCGTGTAAAGGGCTAAAAGACAACACTTAAGCCTAAGCCTCTGCCTAGTATAAATTAAACCATCTAGGCAGAGGTATCAAGACATGGTAAGAGAAGAGATATAGATAGAAAAAATGCCTCAAGTATATGCCATGAATGGAGGAAATGGACCTCAAAGCTATAACCAAAACTCATCCTTTCAGGTTGCTAGTTTAAACTGCAGTTACCTCATTATAAATGTCTAAGGTCTATAAGACTTACGTAAAGATTTTATTTATTTTCTTTTGTTTTTTTGTGGCAGAGAGGAGCAGTAGACGTTGCAAAAGAACTTATCAAAGAAGAGATTGACAAAGAACTTGATGTCAAGCAACTTTCTTCAACCTCTGTGCATCCATTTCGCATAGCAGATTTTGGCTGTTCTACAGGACCAAATACATTTGTGGCCATGAAAGCCATAAGAGAAGCCCTGGAGGAAAAACTCAGAAAAGAAGGACTAGCATCTGAAGTCCCTGAGTTTGAAGTCTTTTTTAATGACCATATATCTAATGATTTCAACACACTTTTTGCTTCACTTCCGCCAGAGAGACACTACCTTGCAGCTGGAGTGCCTGGTGACTTCCACAAGGTTTTGCTCCCAAAGGCAACCCTTCATTTTGCTCACTCATCTTGCTCACTTCACTGGCTTTCGGATGTGCCAAAAGAGGTTACAGACAACACGTCCCCTGCATGGAACAAAGGAAAGATTCACCACGGAGGGGCCAAAAAGAAAGTTCTTGAGGCTTATGCATCTCAATTTGCAAAGGACTTGGAGTCATTTCTGAATGCAAGGGCACACGAGCTAGTCGATGGAGGGCTGATGGCCCTTGTTATTCCTGCTGTCCCTGATGCCATCCGTGAATCTCAGACAACTATCGTCACAGAGAAAGAATTTGAAGTTCTAGGATCTTGCCTCATGGACTTGGCTAAGAAGGTTAGATTTCATTAGTTTCAGATCTTCTTCAACTAAGAACTCTATGTGAATACATCTCAATGCATGGATGCAACATAGAATATTGATTTTTTTATCACTTGAATAATATTAAATTCGAATTATCATCTAATATATCCTAAATAGTTTTATATAGTTAAATTATTTATTTTTTTTAATTCAAATGACATTTGCAATTCTTTTTTAACACTTCTACGAACCTGCGAGACAAGAGTTTTATTGGATCGGATCTTTGCAGGGAGGGGCAGCCACCCCCTCAAGAATTTTAAAAATTTTATTTTCCCTCTTATGAATTTTAAAAAGTCTATTTGTATTATAATTTAGCCTTAAGAAATTATTCTGATATTAATTACTTGCCCTTCTCCCCAAGCTTGAGCATTGAGAATCTGGTATTCTGTGGAAATATTTTTGACATTTTACATTTGCCCCACAAAAAATTCCAAAATTTTTACTTGCAAATAGGGTTATGAATGAAGCTAATTGAGCCAAGCACTCAAGTTGTCAAACTTGTCTATCTATTCTAAAGAGTTTAAAATTGTATTTAAATTTAATTCATTTATTTATTGCACTGAATTTAGATTAGCTTTTATCAAGTCAAACTCAATTAAATTTTTCGCATATAAATTTCATATACTATGTTAAGTCAGCCAAGCTCGATTTCAAATTTGAAATTTTATTGGATACAAAATATTGTTTGTGTTTGGTTTGATTAATTGGTGAACTAAGCGCAAATTAGCTTTTACTATTTCAACATCAATTCAAGTATAATATATAGTTTCGTTCGTTTTTCATTCCTATTTGCAAATATAAGACATTATTTTGATATTAAGTCCTTACCCTCTAAACTTATGTACTTATTTCGCTGAAATAAAAAGGTACAAAGTATTGGATGGAAGTGAGCTTCATGTGTCAAATTTACTACTTGTAACAAACATGGACAGAATAGAAAATCATATCAGATAATTAATGCTGGCCCAAAAGCATCACAACAAGGCACCAATTTCTTTTTCCAACATTTCCTCTGATTAATTTCTCTTTCCAACATTTCCTCTGATTAATATCAATATCCAGGATGAAACAAAACAGATATAGGAAATCAACCAAATCTGCAGGCATAATATACCAATGGCAGAGAATGAATGGAATGCCTCCTTGGTCATGAACAAGCTATTAACTATGTTCCATAATTTCTGAAACATGTCTTCAGCTTAAAAATAGCAGTTGCAAATCCATGAGTAGGAATTTTTAATTTTACAGTTTCTTTATTTTGCATGTACTATATAAGAATGAGTTTTGATTAAAGTTTATCTTCGAATTTCGACTATAGGTTTTGGCTAACAAAAAAAAAAAGTACTTTAAATACTAAGATGCACCTATTGCAGGGATTGGTCGATGAATTGAAAGTGGATATGTTCAACTTGCCACTATATCTCCCATCTCCTAATGAGATAAAGACCCTGATGAAGGCAAATGAACATCTAAATGTTCAGAGACTGGAGATATTAAGCATTCCAGGAAAGCATGTGGTTTTCTCCAACCCTAGTGGAATTGTTTTGTACCTCAGAGCTGCATTAGAGGGACTTCTAGAGAAACAATTTGGAAGTGATATCATGGATGAATTGTTTGAACTGTTTACGCAGAAACTTGCAGAGTCTTCCTCTCTCTTTAACCCTGAGAATCAGGATCTGGCTGTTATTTTTGTCCTCCTCAAGCGAAAATTGAGAACATGAAACAAATTTAGTGGAACAAGAAATGGCTTTGAAACAGCTGCTCCTGACTGTGGAGCATTAGCTTGCATAATCCAGCATATCTAGAAGCTATCCATTGTAATGGATGAATAAAAAAGAACTTATAATGGATGATTAGCAAAGAATAAAATCTCACGTAACTTATTGTCCGACTATAAGCTTGGTTGACGACATCATGTTAGAATATATATTTTGTGTGGCCTAAATAACCACATATGATATTTCTAATGATTTGATTAAATATTTTCTCACTTAAATATATTTCTAATGATTTGATTAAATATTTTCTCACTAATTTAAGTGACAAATTTGTATGTGAAAAATTCAATCGAGCTCAATTTGATAAAAGCTCATGTGAACTCAAAACAGTGAATAAAGAAGCCAAATTTAAACACAATTTTAAATTATTTAGAATTTGCAGACAAGTTTGAAGACTTGAGTGCTTGATTTAATTAGGCTCATTTTAGGCGTGGGGGAGGCCGGAGTGGGGCTGCTGGATCACTTGGGGATTAGTCCACCGCCAGAGTAGTTGTTTGCCTTTACTGAACTCGGCCCAAATAATGCATTTTAGGCGTGGGACACTTGGGGAATTTTTTTTTTATTTTTATTTTTTCAAAAAAAGAAAGTTTGAACTTTGATTTTGCTTTGCTTTCTTTCTATCCTTTTTTCCTTGCCTCCTTATTGTTCTTTAGTAATTTTGAAGAAGGATTTCATTTGACTTCTCTTTGGAAATTGTTTGGAATAAATATAAAATAGTAGTAGTATCTATGACTTTTTGTTTCCTGTACCTTTACTCCTTCCAACCAATGCTGCATATGTCCCAATAATTAAAAAAAAAAAAAAAAGAATTGCATATATGTACTAAAGGACATATTAGGTATGCTAGAATCCGAAATTTACCTACCAATAAGACTATATTCTTTGTTGATTGATGGCTACTAAATAAGAGAACATAGAAGAGGAAAATTCTTGCAAGGAAGAAATCAATGGAATGAAATAATTCATAAAAGGAAGGAGTTAAATCCATACCCTCCAATCCTAGATACACATCCTAAACAGTAATAAGACATTGGGGTCCTTATAGTATATGAAAAGTTAATTAACAACTTTTCTTTTTGTAAAATATCAATAAATTGCCTTCATAATAATATTCTTTGAATTATTTATCATTGTCATCAAGAAAATAGTGATAGATAATGTGCTTTTATGATAAGAAACAATTCAAGAATTAATAGTTAGAAGGCATGGTATGATTTATTAATAGTTCACGTGGTAAGGTGGGGAGTTTTTTTTTTTTTTTTTTGTGGCGGGGGGGGGGGGGGGGGGGGGGGGGGGGGGGGGGGGGGAACGAGGTTGGGGGGTTAGTTTGCTGTAAGCCTTTTTCTTTTTATTACTTCCTTCTACAATCGCTAGGCATATCATATAGGCTAAATCATTGTACAGTCAAAATAGAGATGAAGTATTTGTTGTAGCACCGTGTCTTGCTTTCTATTTTGAACAACTAGTGTATATATATATATATATATATATATATACACACACGGGGAGGAGTGCCCGCGCATCATGTGGGTGTTTGGTAGCTGTGATTGAAGAAAGTTTTTTGGTTGGACAAATAATAATACATTGCGAGAATAGTACGTTGCGATAAATAATTAAAAGCAGGTATGATTATAAGACAAACAACATAAGAGTCTTCCAATATTAGAATCAGGAAGTTCCCGAAGACAAATAATTAGATGCAGCAAGTTCCTGAAGATGTAAGGACAAATAGTTATGAAATTGTTTCAGGTAAAAACTACGAGATAAATAACAAAGTAGTTGAATAAGACATCATGTATGTCTACTTATTTAGTGATACGAATAGTAGTAAACTCATGTAGATGCTGTAATAGACAGCAGTCAAATGCGTTGCTTCTTGGTGGTTCTTCATTTTGGTCCCAACTTCAGCATCTACATGATGAGTGTAGAACATACATGATCGAGGGCCCTCCGCAACTTCTTGCTTCAACTACTCTGACTGCTGAAGTTGAAAGTGGAGGCAACGCAGGGATGTTGGTGCCTTTTCTTGTTGGAATAGCTACTTTTGGTGCTTTTGGCTTAAGGAAGCAAGTAAGCTGAGGGAGTTATGTAGTAAAGGACTATGCGCTGCTAATGTCCACATTCAGTCGGTCTTCAAGTGAGTTAGTCATTAACTTACCAATAGAAGGTGATTAAGGACAAGCTGCAGCAGAATGAAGAAACCATGGGACCAAAATGAAACAGAGGCCAAGTGAAAGCCTCATCAAATCCCAAATTAAATTAATGACCCTAGTAAAGATTGTCGGTCGGCCTCTGCGCAACTTCCTGCTTCAGTAGGCGGTGATTGTTTCCATGCCTAGGATTTATGCAGTATAAAGGCATAAAAAAATATCTCAATCCCAAAATATGAAAAGAGTGAAACTGAAGAAGGTGAAGAGGATGCATGGAAACAATCATAACCGACGCAGCCATTGGGCATTCACTTACCAACGTTTGGCTATTTAGTTGAGGCTATAATGAGAAAGAAATGGAGTGTTTCGGCCATAAGCTCGGGTGAGAGGGGAAACGATGCGGCATTCTATTTCAAACAAAGGTTGTAAGAGAAAATCCAATCCCCGAAAGTCAGGAGCCATTAGTAGGCCCACAATTTTGGCCATTAAATTCAGGTATAAATGATAGAGAAGGAGGTCTGAAAGGAGGTGCTTCCACTCTTGAGCTCTAACCACGGTGACGGTTGAGCAAGGTTGGCCTTTCTTATTCCCTTTCACTTGTGGGCTCCCATGACTTTTTCTTTTCGTAATGACTGCACTTATGATGTGTGAAGGCCATTTAAGTAATTTCACAAAACCACCGGCTTATGTGTGTTGTACCAAAAGCAACAAATGGTTGCAGATTAATTGCACATATCATAAATATCCAGATGTTTCAACAACATAAAGTTTTAAATGTCTATAACTAAGGGTATTTCGGTTAATTTACCCAACCACAAGCTTCCCTCACTTGTACCTATAACTTATAAAACACTACAGAATATTTTACATTCCCAAAAAGTCCCTGCCTATGCGGTTGAAATGCAACCTTCTCTTTCACCAAAACTCAATTTTATATAGTATAAGGATATATATATATATATATATATAACCTCATTAGGTTCACACCAAGCTCTCCTCCAAGAATTCTTTTGAAGATTAAAAGCATGTAACGTTCTAGTGAATGACAACGTAGATTCTTTTTTTTTTTTCAAAGACAGATTAAAAAATGATAATTACACCTTACATGGAGATTTGAAATTAGAAGGGGTATCATACAGTCGTAATAATTGTCAACTTAGTTACGCATTAATTTCACCAGTGCAAAAAACATGTTAACACATTGTTAATTCAAGTAAGGGTAATGTATTTAAAATTTTCTATTTTTAGTATTCTCATACTATATGAGAAAGTGTTTTGTTTGCAGACGTTTAAAATGCTAGTTGGATGGTACAATTTAGTGAAATTTTGATCTAAATTCAATTTTAGGTCTATTGCCAAGGTACTAACTTCCTTGTTCCACCTAAATTTGGTCTATAATTATGCCTTCAGCACAGAAGGGACAATTGTCAGGATAATGTATGAAAATTTTTAGAAAATTTTCAAAATAAGTTTGTCTTTTGTGAATTATTTTTGTATAACACATAAAGTCAATATTATTTCACAAGCCCAATATATTGCATGAAAGGGCGAAAAACCCCAACAGGTACTAAACTATTCCGCTCGTACACTTTTGGCCGCTCAAGTATTTTTTTTTTAATATAATCACTAAACTCTTAAATCAGTATACTTTTGGTCATTTTATTAAATATTGCTCTTAGTATCAATAGAATGAGTTCCATGTGCATTCACCATGCCAAATCAAATGCAATTTCATCCAATGACTTGGAGAACAAATTTTATTGACCACTAATCCATTCAACTTGCACTTTTTGGCCACTACAGGATTTTTCCTTTTCAATCACCCATTTAACTTAGCAAAGTGGCGTACTAGTTGCAATTTCATAACTTTTCTCTTAAGATATTTGTTTTCACCTAATTTTAGATTTTTGTCTTGAAAAGTCAAAATTTAAATTTTTTCCATCTAGAGTTTTAGATTTTTCAATAGTACAAAAAAAAATAAAATTTAGAATCTGTAACAGCTGGTTTAATAGATTATGATTCATAAGTTTTGACAAAATATCTAAATTATTTAGTGAAGTTCTTGTGAATTAATTTTAGAAACCTAAAACTAAATAAAAAACAATAGATTTAAATGACAAAAAATTTGAACGAAAGATTGCGAACATACTATTTCGATGAGTTGGGTGACTGACTTGAAACAAAAAATAGTTGAATGGTTAAAATATATTATCTATATCGTTCAGTGGTTGCTTAAGATTTTAAGGTTACCATCGAATTTGGACGAAATGACGATTAATATACACATTTGTGAGCTGAGTGACTATTTTAAAAAATTTAAAAATCATTGAGTGACTAATTAAAGGTGTACGTGTGGATTAGCTCAGCGGCTGCTAGGATTTTTTCCCCCTTGCATGAAAAGATGAAAACCGATGTGATTTACGTGATCCTTACTTCACATATTGAGCATTTTAAAAGTTGGACAAATCCAGACCATCGACCTTCCCAGATAGCGGCTCAGCCCCGTCTTTACCAACTTTTCGTGCAGATAAACCGCGTGTCCATGCACGTATACGAACACCAATTGGAAAGCGAAACTCGCCATCATTGATTTGAGATTTTAGGGGATGGTTTTATCTGAAAGTGAAAATTGGACCTATTAGTAGGCTTGATTAAGCCACCACTAATTAACATAAGTCACTCCATGGAATTGAATTCAAATTTTAAATTGCATATTTTTCTTCCCGAAAGACAAGTTTCGATGGCCTACATTGACACTAGCAAATTGACTTTTGCAATTGCACTTTAAATTCC